GGATGTCGAAAGGTCAGGCGAATAAAAGTATTGTCCTAGCGATTGAGTCGTCTTCTTCGCACCTTGAAAGGTTAACTGCGTATTACCGAACTGTTGATATTAACACCCAAGTGGGACGTACACATCAAGTTTCAGATTACCCCAAGTCCTCGAAAATTATAAATGCAGGATGGAAATTGATATTATTATTCTACCAGAAAACACATGGGAACGAACGTGGTCTCCACTGGTGAGCCAACCCATGCAAAACTAAGTCATGCGGCAGGAAGAGGACGGTGAATCTCGCCTATCTGGCCACTTAGTACGTTCTAATTATGCCTAGTTAATGGGAAAAATGTACTAAACTACAAACTACTCAGGATTATGTTCCGTAACGACTATAATAAAACGTTCCGATTTGGACAAAAATACAACCGTAACTGTAACCTGACCTGTAGGACATAAGTCCTGGATCGTTGGCGTCAATTGCGACAGAAACGGGCCCCGAAGTTGCAACAGCCTGTTGAAGAAATTCCTCATTGCCCGACGACAGGTCCACGTATTTACTGATATTGGTGATAACTATTGACGGCTGGTATTTGCATCCACCATCCTATATTCAAGAAAGGGAAGCGCAGAATTTAAATCGCATCGTGATTTCTTTGCCCTGTTTGAGCGACAGAGCTTCATGATTATCCCTCAGAAAAATTATGCGAAAACTCAACTCAAGGTATCATCTTTTGCACTTAAAAGACGCAAACTAAAAGTTGACAGAAAACACCTTGCTTCATAAATGCTAGAAACATTTCTCGTGGTTAATTATTCTTTGAAGCGTAGCTACAGGGTTTCCACATTCGCACTAGATCTTTCAGATAAGGAGACCCAGCAGTCATATACGGACTCTTTGTAGGCAAACCAGTCAATTAAGTAGGTATGAAAGTATGGATCTTCATTTGCCTTCATTGCGTCGATTAAATTTTGAAGTTAACATAGTACCTGTTATTCTTTTCCGTTATTTCCTTTCGTTGTATATTTTCTTTCTTTTCTGCCAGTTTTAGTTTAGTTTAAATAACGGACTTGTCATAAAATCGTTTTGGTTTGATACTTTTCGATGAAATGCATTAGTTAAAAGTTACCTGCATATATCTGTTTAACCAAACGGTACGTTCTTTTTAGTAAGGCTGATTGTCTTAATGCAGTATGTGTGTTGTGGTGACAGGGTGCCAGTCCGTACAGGATAAAGAATTTTGTCCGTATGTCGTGACCCCTCTTCTGTGTGAGTAGCAGTAAGCGTACACAGCTTTGACTTCAGTACTCCCATCCACAACAGGCTTGCAAATGCGGTTTAGACGAAGGCGTCCAAGTCGCTGGAAGAAGGGATTTGCTCGCTTGACGTTTCAAATTCACCAGGAGTATTTCATGCATCAGAAGGGAGGGCTATGAACCAGCTAGTGGCGCACAAGGTTTTCAACTCTTGCAAGAAGTTCAGTCTCATCTAAATTTGATGCGGCTAATGAATAAACCACAAGGCATAGGCTGAGCAGAGTTATTAGCTACGCAGGGAACGCGTAGGCGTAAACAGGTTCAAACGCCAGTGCAGTTAACCGAGATGGTCAAGCAGGCACCACGGCAACATCCAGCAGCGGTCAACGGCAGCCAATGCAGTCAGTCGAGATGAAGGACAAACCACTGACTACTTCCGGCAAGGTGTAGTGCTGCACCTAAACTCTCTAAGTATTACCTCCCCTATTACAGGACTTGCCTTCATCTAATTCACTCGATAGAAATATGAAAGGCCAAATGAAAATAAAGGTGCTTCTTCAGAACCTGTTGCAATATTCTACTCAGCACCCGGTGTCCCACATTCTAATTGTTGTTAAGCAGACTGTGTTTAAAACGCCTTACTCTGGCCGAAGTTAGCGTCAAAACAGGCCATGACAACGCAAGCTGTGCGCCAAAGAAAACAATGATTTGGCACAATAATTATATAACTAGATTGCAGAGGTATATGACAATCGTTTCTCTCAAATAAACTGAACTGCACTGGAGTTCTCATCCATTTCACAAGTCAGTCATCAGCATTTAGCATAGCCATACTCACTCTGAATTGTCGTTTTGGGTCGCCACGGCAACAAGCAAATTTGGGTGGTCTCATCTGGGATAAATTAACCATTTAGATGTTTAGCATAGAGGACTATCAGTGGTATTCGTGTAGGTAGAAACGGCAAGGGCCTACAGAAGAAAAGATCAACAAGAAGTAGCCAATCACCCGCTTAGAGTAACCTTTGTGCACATTTCTGTTAACACTTTCTATACATTCTTCAGTTTACCAAAGAATTCAAGTTGTAGTGGTAAATACAATATTTATTTTGTCCAGCTTCTGTGATCATTGCTGTCAGACGAAAGTATGAGCTTAGTCCAGGAAAAGACGGATTCCGTTCTTGAGAAGAGTGCTGACCCCAATTCTAACTCGATACACACGACACTTCCGACTCTTAGAACGTAGATTAAGGCATAGAGCAGTTGAGCGGCATGACAGTTGCTCAAACGTAAGTAAGACACACGGACAAATTGAAATGGAATTAAATATAGCGCCGAAATAGGGTGGTTGAAATTATGATCTCATTGGGTGTGCAAAACGATTTTTAAATTCCTCCTTCACGCCAGCATGTCGGCTTTTGCATGACCATCTACTTGCAATGGAATTAATTTCATCAACAGCAATGTTTTGCTGGCCGGATGGTCACAGACCAGCCAGAACGTCATTTATTCAATGCTTATTAAAAACTCTAGTCTCGCATAACACAAGCAAGCAAATACCTATAGGATATGGACCAAACTTCAATCATAGAAGTAAGATTAGGTTCCTGGGTTATTCTAATGGAGAATCCGTCACTAATTTCCGAGAATTTTCACTTAAACTGTAGACACTGGTGAGTGACGGTCAACAACAAAAATAATTGGTTTTGTCGTTTTAAACACGTATTTTATTAAAGGTCGGAGTATAGCGATTCATGAACCTGTTTTTCTTGGTTTGTGCGAACTTGTGCACTCCTTGAAAAAACGAATTTGGACGATGGATGGTATTTGCATCTGCATTAAATTAATAAGCCATTATTTTATTGCCACTTTCAGGCTTTTTTGTGTACAGAGTTTTACGTTTCCTATAATACGAATTAATAGTAGGTCGCAAAAGGATTCGGTGAAGTGAAAACAATGGGGTATCTTATGATAAATACTACCTCAATAATCCAATAAATAATCCCTTTTGAAGCACCGTGAGACTTACCTTTGCCGTGTAATTGTACTTCTCCTCGGCTTCGATTCCGTACTTCATAACATACTGAAAAGCGAAATCCATAAGACCACCGTTGCATCCGTGGTTACCCTGCTCCCGACTGCAGTCGACCAGCTGTTTTTCTGAGAGGCTGAATAGATTGCCGGTCTTTATCTGAATTGCACCCTCAATGGCACCGGTTGCGGAGAAGGCCCAACAGGATCCACATTGCCCCTGTAAGGTAAAATTGCGCGTACGTGTGCAAACGCTATATTTTTGGCGTGGATAACAGGTACGCATACCTGAAGTAAGACGGAACTTGAAGTATGTATGTCTGATGTGGGTTCGATTTAATCTTACTTTAGCAGAATTATATCTATTTGAAATGAATCTCAGCATTTGCGGTCCTTCCCTTTGTTCTCAGTCTGTAAGGTATGCGATGAGAACAAATCATCTCAGCCTACAGGGGTATTCATTTATATAGACCCCTGTATGCATTTATATAGACCCCTGTATACATTGTAATATTTTCGCCAGCACCAAGGCAATTGCATTCGCATAAATTCTCATGGTGTGGGTGTATTTCTTTCTACAGGCACCAATGACAACCGCTTTCTTGAGTAGTTGATTTTTTTCATGATTCTTGGAACGGTGGACTGTGACGTTGGCACCTGCAGGATCCCCAATTCCTGAACGATA